TATTTTGGGAATATGCACCACTAAAGCACAACATAAACTCAAATAATAAAGCTCTCAGTTATTACCTGTCTTGTTCCTTATTGCCTGGGGCAAAAAGTTTATATTGCTTTTCTTTACTGTAGCCCCACATTATCTGAGGCATTGTTCTGTGGTTTTATTATATTGGATTGCTTCATATAAAAAGACTATATCTGTAGAGATATAATATAGGCCTATGTAAATAGTAGCAAGCAATCCAATACAACAACACCACAGAACACTGCCACAAATAATGTGGAGATTCAGTGAGGAGCACTGCTGAATAAACACCACATAACTTCCTTGGTGAAATGATATTACAAGGTTGTTGTGTGGGATATCATGATGTTGTGCAGGTCTTCCTCTTGTGCTGATCAGTCAGAGCACTGCCTCAAAAATTACTAAACTTTCACAAACACTAAATTATCTTTTTTTCAGTTAAAAGGACATTACAGAGCTGATGTAATGGATTGCACGAGACTTTACAGGACTTCCTCCATTGCTGATCAGTCAGGGTATTTCACCAGCACCTATTATGTAATATTGAACCACAGACATATTTCAGTGTATTGTACAATACAATCACATAATATAAACACAGGTGTACAAACCATTCAGGAAGGTGTGAAACATGGCAAAAACAGACGAGATTATTACTACTGTCTTGATTTTTTTGTTTTGCAAAATGTATTATTCACAAATGTCGTTTTTTAAATAAACAAGACCAATTTTCTTTCATTTCTAAATGAGATGATTCTTTATAGAAAATGTGTGAAATGCTATAAAATTGAAAAGGCCCAGTGTCAGTATGAACACCTGTGTACCTTTATTCCTGGGGCCTGTATCACGAAGCGAGATCAACCTTTCCTGGGTTACCCAGACCTATCCTGGGTTGACTAACCCTAACAATGGCAATCAGGATAATCGGTATCACGACGCTGGATATCAACTCGGTAAATCAACCCAGGGTTGCTTTATCAAAAGCCGTGAACGCGCACGCAGCGGACCAATCACAATCATGAGAGAAGCGCAGCGTCACTGAGCGTCCTCACTGAGCGTCCTCACTGAGCGTCCTCACAGAGCGCTGTATGGGGGGAAAAAAAGTATTTCTCGTGAGGATCAGAGATTAATTCTACTAAAATATGAGGAGGAGAAAAGCAACATTAGAGAAAAGGCCAACACCGTGGCAGCTGCAGGAGGAGGAAACATGCGTGGCAACGCATAACGGGATGAATAATGTTTAGTTTTAGTTTAGATTAGTTTATTTGCACATAATGTTAAAAACAGACAGTATAAAATTTACAAGATTAAAAAAAGAAAAGTGCCGGAGAGGTTAGAAGCCACTAAAAGCTTATCAAAGAAATTCCCCTGTCAAAACATCAATGAAATCACATGATAGAGAAGAAAAAGAAACGGGTGAGGAAAGAAGAAATAGAGGAGGAGAGAGGGAAAAATCAAGACAAAACAAGGCAGCAAATAAAATGATGTGTAGGTTAAATGACTCATCACTGGTTCAAGTAGCTACAGTACCTGTACCTGTACATCTGACACTGATCACACCCTTGAATCCCATGAAATCAATGCTGCGCAGATGAATTGCGTGTATTACAATTATCGTCTAACATCATTGCGTCTGATAAATTGGTCTTCTTTGTCATAACGTTATATATGCTACAATAAAGCTTAAAGCTGACGCCACAATTAAATCATATCAACACCAAATTGATAGTCTGAATAAAATCATCCTGATATTGAGCTGTGTTAGAAATTAACAGCTGCACAAAAATATAGCTAGTGTCCCTCTTTAAAAAACAAAAAGGAAAATCCCTCAAACACCATGAAGTGTAGACATGATAGGCTACTTTCCACATTTCCAGCAGCAAAGCTGTCAATTAGGCCCATTATCTTTAACAGGGATCATTTCCTCCAACAAAACAAAATGTTGGCACTAATTAATGGTGCTATTAAGTGTCCGCAAGTGATCAGTTTCTTTCTTATGAAGGGGTGGGATGAAAGTTCCACTTCTTTCCACTCCTTTTTGAACAATCTTTTCATTGTCTGTTGTTGTTGCTTTCTTTTCTTTAATGTTCAAAATAAACTTTCAAATCAAAATCAATCAAATGAATTAAACTTCCCGTCATGACTGGGCTGCATTTCTGTCAGCTGAGTCTTTTTTTCCGAACAGCTGATTGGCCAGTGGGTAGTGCTTTTTATAGGATTAGATTCAACCCTGAACTTACCCTGCTCCGGAGCAGGATAGCCGTTCAGAGTAAGTTACCATGGTGATCTACCCCGATAAGAACTGAACCGGCTTCGTGAGACCGAAAACCCAGGGTTAACCCTGAAGTTACCTCGCTAAGACATTAATCCTGCTTCGTGATACAGGCCCCTGGATGACCACTTGTATATTGTTGTTTTTTATTTTATTTTTGTTTCTATCCTTCATTATTATATATTTCTGCTTTGCAGTTTAGCTCAGTTAAAGTAAGACTGTAACCTGTATTCAAATGTCACATGACGTGCCCTTTAGATTGTAAATAAAATTCTTAAAAAAATACACCTGACTTTTTGCTTTTCTAAGAAGGGCAAAATTTAAAGAGCTCTCACTCTGTCTTATTTCTAAGACACGATGGGAACAGAGGAACTGAACAGCAGCCGAATCACATAATAAATCAACAAAGTACAACTGATAATATAAATAAACAACAACAACAACAACAACAACAACAACAACACTTTTACGTGAAATTAAACAGTAACAGAAATTTAACGGGGCACGAGATTGGCTCCCACCGTTTTTATAATCGGAATGTTTTTGGTTCGTGTTTAACGCAAATGGGTGAACCATCTGTTTAATAGACGGTCTTTCACATTCAAATCTCCGCGCTGGTTTCCGGTTTCCGGTTCCCCCCTCCTACATCTCATAGCAACGGTCCTTGGATACGAGCAGGAGGAAGCGCGCTCACTGTGGCGGACTGATAACAACATCAACAACATGGAGCCTCCGCAGGTAATTTACAGAACTTTAACGTTATTTCCGGTGTAAACATGATGTTACGGAGCGATCTGTCTCGTCGTCCGAGCTACGTTGACCCGCGAATAAAGTTTACACAACGTTAGCTGTTGTCGCTGCTAGCTCACTGCTAACCGCTTGTTTGCAGCTAATAACAGCTAACAGACGGTTAACGCGACGTTACTCCCTGTAGACGTCGTTGTCAACGCGAAATGTTGCGTTCCCATGGTTAGTAGTGATGAATGGCGAGCGGCTAACAATCAGTTGCAAGCTAGCGTTAGCGATTAGTATGCGCAACGTAGCCACGCGTCTGTTACCAAGCTAACCTGTTGCCCTTAGCTAACTTTTTGTCATACGTCTCAACTATCTTATACGCGATTCATAAGATAATGTAGCTAAAGTCATCAGGGAAAACTTGCTTATTCGCGACTGTCACAACAGCGGTTTAATTAGTGTTAGCATTTAGCAGCATTTGACATTTATTCAAAAAGACTGGAAACCTTATTTGTCAATCTCTGATGAAGGTCTTACAGCTTCAATCAGGCCAGAATAACTGCACAGATGTCCACTAACTTCACTTTATACAGAGAAACAGCACCTTTAAGCTTAAGCTAACAATTAAGGACATGAATAATACGTAACGTTACAGACGTGACTACAGGTGTATTACACATACTGGCGATTCGCATTTAACCCTAAAGTCACACTGCACAAGTCAGTTTTATTCAAAAATCCCAAATTCTCCTCAAGGGGCTTTACAGTCTGTACAACATAATGCGCCCTCTGTCCTAACACTCTGAATCCAAACTCCCCACCAGACTCCTTTAACAAAGAAATAATGAAAGAACGCTCAGGAGGAGCAACGGAGGAGGGATCTCAGTCTCAGGATGGACCAACATGCACAGTACAACAAATCGTACAACCATACAGTATGGACAATCAGGATGACAAAATTACATAGACATTGTGTCATTGCATATATGAAGAACATCTATTGAGTACTTAATTAATCCCAAATGGAGTTACATTTGTTACTCCGGTTGCAAACTGTAAGTATTTTTCTTCATTACTGGTAAAGTTAACAATCATGTAATCATGATTTTAAAAAAAAACATTAAAATTTTGCTTTTACTAATTAATACCAAATGTGTCTTTTCCTCAAAGCAACATATTGCATATACTCTGACAGCAGCACGTAAATTGAATTTAAAAAGTTGTATATAAAGATACAGATTCAGATCATTTATTTAAGTGTCATACACCAAAAGATGCCCCGCCCACATGGCTTACATGAAACTACGAAACATTTCAGACAAAAGCAGTAACACCATGTTACAAACCATATCTTTAAAATGTCAAAGATAAAGTGTCCTCAGATGCAGGTGGTAAACATTTGGGACCGGAGGGTTGCCAGTTCAAGTCCCTGTCTGAACCAAATATGAAGCATGGACTGGTAGCTGGAGAGGTGCCAGTCTGCCTCCTGGGCACCGCCGATGTGTCCTTGAGTAAGGTGCTGAACCTCCAACTGCCCAGGGTGCATGTCCAAGGCAGCTCCCTCACCCTGACATCTCTCCATTTAATGCACATATAGGTCCTGTTTGTGCATGTGTGTATTTCTGGCCTGTGTGTGTATGACAACAGAGTCATCAACACACAGGCCCAACAGACTTTATCTTCTTCTTATTCTTCAAACTGAGCTTACTGAAAGATTTTCATCAGAAGTGGAAAACAAATCAGGACATTCTGCAGACGATTTAAGGAAAAGCTTATATCTGAGTAGGGCTGCCACGATTAGTCGACTAATCGATGACTAATTGACTATTAAAATAATCTGTGACTATTTTAGTAGTCGACTAATCGGTTTGAGTCATTTTTCATAGAAAAGTACTATAAAGTACCCCAAAATACTCTTACTGCAGCTTCTTACATTCAGATATTGGCAGCTTTACACACTCTCCCGTGACAGTGAACTAAAACTCTTTGGCGTGAGTATGAAACAAGACATTAGATGACGTAATTTTGGGGTTTGGGCGAGACAGACTGACATTCTTCAATATTTTAACACATTTTTCGATGAAATGATTAGTCGACTAATCGAAGAAATAATCGACAGATTAGTCGACAGTGAAAATAATCGTTAGTGGCAGCCCTATATCTGAGATTGTGATAAAATGGATAGTAGAGCAAAAGGTTATTTCATGTCGGTGACATTTTCTATTCTCCTCTGGAATTGAATGAAATGAAAGCGTCCAGTCTCCACTGCCAGAGACAGGATACCACATCTCAACTGGGCACAGACAGACCTCTGAGCTCTGCTCAGGTTAAGGGTGACACAATGCTCCAAGCGGTACATGTGCTTATAGGTAAATGAAATAGAAGCCTAGCGTACAGACTTGAAGTAGGATCATAATGTTTAACTTCACATACTTAATACACACTTTGGAAAGATACTGTACATTTGTAGTGCAAGTCCAGTCAATAATGCTTTATGCTGCAAGCTCCAGAATTGTCCTTGAATATTAAAGTTGAATTAAATGAAAATACAAACACAAAAAACGCATCTGTTATGTTATAATATGGAGTTTAGAGTTTGCGCAAAGGATACAAAGGATATTGTGATATGATTGTGAATTAATATAATAAATGAAAGTACAAATCCAGGTGAGCAGCCCGTCCTTATGAAGCTTCAGTGACAGAGCAGCTCCCAGTTCCAGCACAGAGGAGACTAGTTATACAAAGTCGTGTCAGCCGGGAGGAGCAACTTCCTGTTCCTGTTGTGTTCCTCATCACAGAGGAGCTGAATAAGTTATCAAAGATGCTCAGCTGTGTGACCAGCAGGATGTGGAGAATGTGTGAGACATTTTCCAGAACTTATAACAGTTTTTGTGCAGCATGCTCCTCTCCAGCTCCAGAGGCTAGAGGGCTGTTACCAGCAGTTGTTTTTTTGAAGTCTCCAAAGACAGATTCTTGTGTTTTAGGTGACACTGTTGTATTAAATGACACAAGAGGACAATAACAGTGAGTCATATTGTGTAATAATTTGGTTCACAGCGGGCGGCAGCGTCTCCTCAGTCACCAGCAGATGAAGATGTGAGTCAGTCTGTTGGACAAACATCCACAAACCAACTTGAAGCTCAAAGTCACAGTGATGCGGATCAGGACCAGAGGCAGCCCAGGCTGGAAACAGATGACAGGGAGCTTCAGCAGCTGTGGGGACGCTCTTTTCAACCAGGTACATTAAACAACAATGAATTTCACTCTGCTGCTTTTAATCCATAATGTTGATTTGGGATTAGGTGATACAGAACAAAATGTTTTAATGGATATCTGGGGTTTTGACTCAAAATATAAACTCTACTGTATATTTGTCTCATGGTTTCATGATATCTACATAGGAATGGAAAAATCACATTTCAAGTTGTCTAGTTTTATTTACTTATTTATACAGTTTAAGATTACAGGGACAGTGCACATTAATGTTTCTGTAAAGGGGCCAGTTTATCCAGCATGACACATTCTTAACTGTAGTCAGGTCACGCCTACATAAACACATACAATAAATCAAAACAGGAACAGCAACACTGTACATAATGTAACAGATTATTTTAGAGTATTTTTAAATGAACGATATGTGTCAGAGTCTCAGGTAGTGTTGGCAGACTAATCCATGTGTGAGCTGCTCTCACTCAGTACGTAATATTTTCTACCAGGAGCAGCAGGATGGGAAATAATCTTAAAAATGAATCTAGTTGTGTTTGCAAATTGTGACCCTGCAAGATTTCCAGTCTTTTTAAAATCTCAGTGTGTGACTAAAAACCTCACACTGAACTTTAGATGTGAGAGGATGTCAGACTTTTGTCTTTCAGAAATATTTTAAAAATCTTCTACTAAAGTCTTCTACTGTATGGTCGGTGGATAAGTTGCAAATCATAAACCTGTTCGAAGTGCCTGTGAATAACATTCAGCATCTTCTGTATCGTCAGAATTTCAGGACAGTAACCTGTCTCCAGCCCTCTCCCTGTTGCCTGGAGCGGGACACAACTTCACTGATTATTCTTTATTCCAACAAAGTGACAATGAATTTGTCCCTTTAAGGTAAGAAAAAAAAATCAGCATAGTTTTTCTATAACATGTCATTTGACTGTTCAGAAGTTTCTCATTGTATTTGTTTACCTTTTGAAGGGCATATCCAGACATTTCCCTGGCATCAGAGAGGTTTCACTCTGCATCCCAGGATCGCACCACTCAGGCCTCAGAGCAGGAATCACTGTCCCAGCATCCTTTGGCTCAGGTGACCAGACTGTCTGAAGAAGGAGTGAGCAGCTGCTGCTCGCTGTCCCAGCACAGTTTGTCTCTAACAGATGAGCACAGACAAGAGGAAACTATTCACTCACCACTGACTGACAAACAGAGAGTACCACGGAGCAGAGAGAACGTCTCCAAGACACTGACTGACCCTTCAAACAAGTCAGCAGGAGAAGCTGCTGAAAATGAGACGTTCTTCCTAAGTAAGGACGTTCCTGCTCAGCGTCTTCTGGAGCTCCTTCAGAAAGATATCGGTATGCCAAGCAGCAGCAGCAGTGCCGTTTCCTCTGCTTCTGAAACCTCTGTGAAGGCAGCTGCAGAGTCTCAGAGCCTTGAAGTTACCAAACCACACACTGACCAAAGTATGTTTAGGAGAGAGGGTCCTCCAGGTGAAGCTTCTCTTCCCCAGCAGCAGACACAACAACCTGACAGAGATTCACACTCTAACCAATCACGATCATTGTCGTCTGAGGTCTGTAACATCACCACGGGGCCTCGCAGCACGAAACCTGATGACAGTAGTGAAGCGTTACACAGAGCGCTGCTGTCTGAGGTAGAGAGGAGTAGCAGCCATGAAGCTGAATCTGAAAACCAGCAGCTGAAAAGCTCCACACCACCTGGTCAGTCCCTCACACCGCATCCCACAGCAACGTTTGAAGGCAAGCCCAGTGTGACCAGAACAAATCCAGGTGGGGTGCCGTGGACAGGACCGTTTTCAGTAGGTGTCTTGCGGGGTCACAGAGAACAAGACCTTTGGTCCTCAGGGAACCAAACAGGGATCGATGGGTCCTACCTGGGTTTCCTTCCACAGTCTCAGTCCACTCCTGGGGCGTTTAAGGCCCCTCCCAAGTCCAGCGTCAAGGCTAAATTAGGGCAACTTTCTGCCATAGAATCCAATAAAGAGAACTCATATCAGTCAGGGATCTCTCCACAGCCAGCTGCTCCTGTGGCTGATGTCCATCTCCCAGACATAGTAAATCAGAGCCAAGAGGAAGCTACCTCTGCAAAAGTCCAGTCTCTCCCAAGTCTCAACTTTATGCAGAAAGTAGACGCCTGGAGGATAAATCAAAGTTCAGGAAAGACATCACTATTTGATAGTTTAGCACTGCAGGGATTCTCTGGCATCTCTCCCAAAAAGAAAGCTTACGATGCAGTATCTGACTCCCTGAATCGCATCCTGAGTCAGCAGGCAATGAGTTTACAACAGCCTCCTGTTTCAAGTGCTGCCAACCAGGATGTCACACAGAGCTCCTCCACGGCTCCCTCGGGCTCTTCTTCTACAAGAAGAGGGGAGGCGGTGGGCAGCGCTCCCAGTGACAAAGACAACACTGGTTCTGCAGCAAGACCCTCCACCTCGTCCTTCGGCAGGTCACAGTCCCACTCCTCCCTCAGCACCGTGGTCATGTCGGCCCAGAAAAATCAGCCAGTGGAGAGACCTGCAGAAGAAGAGAACAGTCAGACTCAGGACGATGTCCGTCATCAGCCAGCTGCCACAGTTCAACCTGCGGCTCGCGTGAGCCTCAGTCGGTTCAGCGACGTGTCGCTTGATCGAGATTTGACACTCTCAAGTTCCCAAGGTAGTTACAGCAGTGGAGTTAAATTAGGAACTTCGGTCGGAGCGTCTTCTGCTGTCAGTCTAGAGGTCGATAACTACGCTCCTTACTGGACGTCCAAACTATCAACACCACCTCCTCTGCCCAGGCCGCGAGAGCTCAACATTGAAGAACGAATTCCGGTAATTAAAAAACTGAAAATATGAGTAAACAAACAGGATTTCTCTTAAGTATTATTTAAAATATGTTTAGGACTGTAGACTTGTGCAGTTGTTTGCAGATTCAGTTTTTGTGGAAAATAAATGGAAAGATTTTGCTGTTACTTTTATTCAGCTTGCATCATACCTTTATACCTGGAGATTTGTAGTCGTGATTCTGATGTTCTGTATTTATTTTTCTTGCAGTTGTATCTCCATAACCTGGGTATTGAACAGTCTCCCTCAACAATCTTGACTCCATTTGTGCCCAGAGGGCCAATCAGAGAGCCTGAATTCTCTCCCACTGATCTCTGTACAATTAAAGGATCTGTTGGAACCCCGACCAAGAGCACGCAGCCCTCTGAAGGTACCTTTAAAGCTCACGTTCTAAACAGGAAAAGTATGAGATAAGATAAGGGAAGGGTAGAATTTTCATTAAGGCACACCTCCTGAGTATCGCAGTCAATGATGTTCATTTAATTGTGGGAAGCCATAATTGTGATTGAGATTAATATTCCATTAATTGTGTAGCTCTACTTCTTTTTGGTAAATGTGCCTTACCTGAAAGGAACAGTTGTGCCCCATTAAAAATCCTGTCATGTTTTATTTTCAGGTGACAGTCCTCATAAAGGAGAGTTTTCCAGGTCCAGCATTCTGTCAGTGGACTCCAGTATGTCCATACCTCTGAGCCTGGACAGTCTCGGTCCAGGTGTATCCGTCCCAGAGCGGACCAGACGGGCTTCTCCCTCTTCAGACACAGATGATATCCAGAGTGAGCGCAGACTGACACACTCCTCCCCGCCCAGTGAAGACTTGTATCCCTCCACACTGCAGACCACCCAGCAGGAGCACATGAACAGCAGCTTAACCAGCAGCCAGAACACCATCCAGCTCGGGGACAGGTTTGACTCTGAGCCCTTGGTAGATACCAAGGCTAGGTTTGGGGACAGAGACTCAGACTCTACCTTACAAACTAGCCGTAGTTTGGAGCGAAGTGCAGCAGATTCTGTCGTTAGCTCCAAAGCTTTGTTGGAGATCCGTAAACTTCTCTCTCAGGCGGAGAACATGGTGTCTACTGGGTCTTCAGGGGCCTCCTCACCCTCCCCTGCTGCGCCTCGTCTACTCTCTGATGATGACATCTTCCTCTCACTGAGGAAGAAAACCAGCAGGCTCCAGGACTCCTCGTTCTCCTCCTTCTCTGCAACTGTGGATCCCAGGACTGGATCCTCCCTGCTGTGGGTGAGGTCCTCGTCTGACTCCATGTTGACCTCAGAGAGACTGAGAGAAACCTCTATTGGTCAAGAGAGTGTGACCTCACCAGGTCAGCCTCATTATCCATCCACACAAGCTCTCATTACCACAGGTGCATACATTAGGCCACAGGATAGCTCTGTTGATAGAGATGCAGGGTCGTCCCTCGTCCTCTCCCAGTCAGCCCGACGTGCAGAACCTGAGGGCTGCAGCGCTGCTCCTCCTGATAACACAGTCCCACCACAGCCACCAGTCAGCAAGCCTCTACCAGGTTTGAGTACACAACAGATCCCCTCTACTCCTGCAGACTCAGCAGGTGTCTCAGACAACGACAGAAGTCCTGCACAGAGCAGCTCCTCCTCACCCATCCAAGAGGACAGTGATCAGGGCGTGATGAGTGACGGGAGCAATGAGAGCTCGCTGGCAGTCAGAGTGGCCAAGTTACTGCAGAGTGAATCTCCGGCCACTATGGTGTCCAGTACACCCAGCGTCACTGACCAAGAGGAGAGCAAAGCCAGAGGTAAGAGGATACAAGTTGAGATTTTACACTCTAATCTTCAGGGACAAGTTTTGAGATTAAAACATTTAAATAAACTCCTGCAGCATAAGTCCACGATCACACAGAAAGCGTTTTGCGGGTTGCAAAACATGAAACGTACTGCCTTTTTTTTTTTTTTTTTTTTTTTTTTTAAATT